GAACCAGTGAAGCGACAACTCCCCCGCATAACTGTTGAAAACAATGAAAAAAAAAAAAAAAATGAAACGAGGCAAAACACTTCGCATGATTAATATAATCAGCAGTGTTGTTGTCATCATCATCATCATCATTACCATTACAGTCATCGGCGCTGCCACAATCATCATCATCATTAACATCAACATCGTCGTTGTCGTCACCATCAATATCATTCTGATCATGATCATTATCATCATCATCATTACGACTAGCCTGCCCGTCATTATCGTTAATATTTTTAATTTATGAATATTGTTTAAAAGAAAAAGAAAAAAGCTGTTTATCCTGATAACGATGATGATGACGATGACGAACCCCTCGCATACAGTTCATCAGAATAAACAAAAGTTAAAAAAAAGGGCAAAATGCCACGCATAATCATCATTACTGTCATAATCATTACTAATACTAATGCTGTTATCATTATCGTTATTACTATTACCATCGCAAAAAAAATCACTATCACCACCACTGCTACCAAGATATTAGCGTCAAAATCATTATTACTACCTATCACCGCCATCATCATCATCATCACCACAACCACCATCACATCATCGTCGTGATGGTGGTTGTGGTGGTGATGATGATGATGGTGGTGACGGTTAATACTAATGCCGTTATCATCATCGTTATTACTATTACCACCGCAAAAAAATCATTATTACCACTGCCGCTACCAACACATTAGCGTCAAAACCATTATTACTGCCTATCACCGTCACCATCATCATCATCATCACCACCACAACCAAAACCGTTATTGTCATTACAATTACTATAATCATCAAAAATATTATTCCTATCGTTGTCACTATCAGTTAAGCGTCAAAATCATTATTACAACCTATCACTTCTACCTTCATTATCGTTATCACCACTACCACCACCACCAAACCATTATTATCATTACCGTTACCAATAATCATTAAAATTATTATTCCTTATCCCCACTGTCAATATCATCATCATCAAAATCATCGAAATCATTAATACCCACAGCCGTTACCCATATCATCATCATCATCATTGTCACCCCAGTACTTACTAACATCAAAAAAAAAAAAAAAAAATCCGAACTTAACGGGTCGTGCCTTATATAGGATGATATACTGTTCGTTTTTATCAATCGCCAATAACAACACGCCGCCAGTGCAGCAAAACCCTTGTCGCCATCACCTTGACAACCATTGGCGTCGTCATCGATATCATCGTTATCGATATCATCGTCATCATCACCATCATCATTGTCGTCATCGTCATCGTCACTATCGTCATCATCATCATCGTTGTTTCCAAATCCACTAGTACCAATGGGCCACGGGGACGCGGTACACCGCCATTGCAACAACACCCTTGTCGTCATCACTTTGACAACCACTGGTATCGTCATCGATATCGTCATCGTCATCATCATCATTATTGTCATCGTCATCGTCACTATCGGCATCGTCATCGTTGTTTCCAAATCCACTAGTACCAATGGGCCACGGGGACACGGCACACCGCCAATGCAACAAAACCCTTGTCCTCATCACCTTGACAACCACTGGTATCGTCATCGATATCATCATCAACATCATCATCGTCATCGTCATTATCGTCATCGTCACTATCGGCATCGTCATCGTTGTTTCCAAATCCACTAGTACCAATGGTCCACGGGAACACAGCACAGTGTTGCTGCTTGGGGGAACGCGAATTGACTAAATTTG